CATGATCTTCATTTTTTGAATGCTGAGTTTTAAGCCAACTTTTTCACTCTTCTCTTTCACTGTCATCAAGAGGCTCTTTAGTTCCTCTTCATTTTCTGCCATAAGGGTGGTGTCATCTGCATGTCTGAGGTTATTGATATTTCTCCCAGCAATCTTGATTCCAGCTTGTGCTTCATCCAGTCCAGCGTTTCTCATGATGTACTCTGCATATAAGTTAAATAAGCAGGGTGACAATATACAGCCTTGACGTACTCCTTTCCCAGTGTGGAACCAGTCTGTTGTTCCATGTCCACTTCTAACTGTTGCTTCTTGACCTGTATACAGATTTCTCAGGAGGCAGGTAAGGTGGTCTGGTATTCCCACCTCTTGAAGAATTTTCCACAGTTTGTTGTGATCCACACAGTCAAAAGCTTTGGCATAGTCAATAAAGCAGAAGTAGATGTTTTTCTGGAACTCTCTTGCTTTTTCTATGATCCAACGGATGTTGGCAATTTGATCTCTGGTTCTCCTGCCTTTTCTAAATTCAGCTTGAACATCTGGAAGTTCTTGGTTCACATACTGTTGAAGCCTTGCTTGTAGAATTTTGAGCATTACTTTGCTAGCATGTGAGATGAGTGCAATTGTGCAATAGTTTGAACATTCTTTGGCATTGCCTTTCTAGGGACTGGAATGAAAACTGACATTTTCCAGTCCTGTGGACACGGCTGAATTTTCCAAATTTGCTGGCATATTGAATGCAGTACTTTAACAGCATCATCTTTTAGGACTTGAAATAGCTCAGCTGGAATTCTATCACCTTCACTAGCTTTGTTCATAGTGATGCTTCCTAAGGCCCACTTGACTTTGCACTCCAGGATGTCTGGCTTGAGGTAAATGATCACACCGTCGTGGTTATCTGGGTCGTGAAGATCTTTTTTGTATAGTTCCGTGTATCCTTGCCACCTCTTCTTAATATCTTCTGCTTCTGTTAGGTCCATTCTGTCCTTTATTGTGCCCATCTTTGCATGAAATGCCCTGTTGGTATCTCTCATTTTCTTGAAGAGATCTCTAGTCTTTCCCATTCTATTGTTTTCCTCTATTTCTTTGCATTGATCACTGAAGAAGCCTATCTTATCTCTCCTTGCTATTCTTTGAACTCTGCATTCAGATGGGGATATCTTTCCTTTTCTCCTTTGCCTTTGGCTTCTCTTTTCTTCTCAGCTATTTGAAAGGCCTCCTCAGACAACCATTTTGCCTTTCTGAATTTCTTTTTCTTGGGGATGGTCTTGATCACTGCCTCCTGTACAATGCCACCAACCTCCATACATAGTTCTTCAGGCACTCTGGCTATCAGATCTAATCCCTTGAATCTATTTGTCACTTCCACTGTATAATCGTAAGGGATTTGATTTAGGTCATACCTGAGTGGTCTAGTGGTTTCCCTACTTTCTTCAATATAAGTCTGATTTTTGCAATAAGGAGTTCATGATCTGAACCACAGTCATTAGGCTATTATTAAAATGAAACAAACAGAAAGAACAAAACGGAAAAGAACAAGCTGAGGTGGGGTGTGGGGAAACTGGAGCCCCCAGCCCTGTGGGCGGGAATGTAAATGGTGCGGCTGCTGGAAAAGAGTGTGGAGGCTCCTCAAAACGCAAACAGAATCGTCACAGGTTCCAGCAGCTCCCTGGTGCTCAGACAGTAAAGAATCTGCCCACAGTGCAGGAGACCTGGGTTCAATCCCTGGGTTGGGAAGATCCCCTGGAGAAGGGAATGGCAACCCACTCTTGCCTGGAGAATCTCATGAACAGAGGAACCTGGCAGGCTGCAGTCCATGGGGTCTCAAAGAGTCGGACACGACTGAGCGACTAATACTTTCAGTTTCACACTTCCAACAATTCCATTTCTGGGTATAAATCCCAAAGAACTGAAAGCAGGTACACTCATGTTTGCAGCAGCAATACTCACAAGAGCCAGGACGTGTCCATGGATGGGTGTGTGTGGTCCATCCACACAGTGGGGCTCAGAGGCATCATTCAGCCACAAAGGACAGACACCGCGCCTCCACATTTAGGAGATCCCAGAGCAGTCGCATCCCACGGAGACAGACAGAGAGCGGCAGGGGCCAGGAGCTGAGGGGAGGGGGCGCCTGTTTGAAGGGGATGGAGTTCCAGCCTCACGGTGCAGGGGCTCTGGGGGCAGATGGCGGCCAGGGCTGCACAACAACATCTTCAGGGCACCGAGGTGTCACTTGAAAGTGGCTCAGAGGATACACTCACGTCGTGTGTTTCACTGCCGTGAAGAAGCATGACAACAAGTCATACGGTGCGAGCTGTACTTGTCTGAGTCCCGTCGGGAGCAGGACCCACCCAGGGTCAAGCAGGGAAGTTCGCTGTGAAGGGTCATTCATGACAACGAAGAGTGGATTGCAAGAGCGGGGGCTCCGGTCCCCCGGGGCTGAGGGAAGGCCCACCTCCTGGGCAAAGGGCGCCTCCTTGGAGCTGGCCTCAGGTGGGCACGGAGGACCCTGGGCGCCCAGGCTCAAGGCCAAGAGGTGCAGGAGGGAACACCGCTTGGGCGTCCCTCACACGCTGGTGGCGGGGAAGGGACTGGCTCGGGGTTGGCTCCTGACGGGCTGCAGCGACTGAGTGGCCGTGAGCGCCACCACCCAGCAGGGCTCAGAGGCTGGAAGGCTGGTCCAGCATCCCAGCCGGGGTGGCCCTGCTGCTCTGGGGGTGCAGAGGGCTGGGCCCCTCCCGGGAGACAATTGTGCCCCCACCAGGCATGAGAAGGGTAAAGTTGCTCTTTCTCTCACATCTTCAGAAGCTCAGGGAACTTTGTGAATTTGGAGAAAATGAAGGTGAAGATGAGCATGTCCACCTCCTGGGCCCCAGAAGGCGAGCCCGGGATGGCTGGGGGACCTGGGCGAGAGAGCTGTGGCTGCAGTGCTGGAGGGGCTGCGTGGAACACAGCAGGGGAAGGCGGGGGTGGGGCAGAGACCCACCCAGCTTCCTGGCCGCAGGGAGTGAGGGTGTGCAGACTTGTGGCCACCATGGAGGCCGGTCTCCTGGCACTGGAGACCGCAGGTGGACAGCACTGTCCCAGAAGCTGACCTGGCCAGGGCCCCCAAGAGGCTGCCTGGGGACACAAGGAATGACGCCCAACTCAGCCCCGGGGCTGACGACCTGCTGGGCAGACCAGGAGGGAGAACTGCACAGCATCCAGTGGGGAGGGCTGCTGGCGACCCCCACTGGGCAGCCGGCCATGCCTGGCCAGCACTGCCCTCACTGGGACTCAAGGTGACCTTGTAGCCGCTAGTCTGAGTGGGAGCCTCCCACCAAGGTTGGCCTGTCTGCTCCAGGTCCCTGGGCCTCCTCTCATACCGCCCACACCCATCTCCTGCCCAGTCTCATCCTCCTGGCTGCTCCACCGCTGGACCCTCACCTGTCACCCTGTCCCCTTGTCCATCTTTCAGTCCCCTCACCACCCCCCAACCCCGCCCCCCTCTGTGATTCTGTCTACTGCCAAATCCCACCAGCCTCCAGGTCCCTGTTGTCGTCCCCTCCTCCAGGAAGCCCTCCTGGTGATCCTCTCCTGCTGCCCTGAGTACCCCCTCTCTCAGCCTCACTGTACTCAGAGCAGAGAGGACCATCCCATGTGTCTGAGTGACGCTGAGAAATGGTTGAATCAGATAACGGAGACATTGGCTCCTTCCTGGAGACATTAGTGGCCTCTGACTTTGGGTCTGGGCCCAGAGGGGTGGGCGGGGGTTGGAGTAGGGCCTCCCCCAGAGCTGCCGAGGCTCCCCCCAGGGTGTGAGCAGGTGGGAGCTGGGATGCAGGTGGCTCTGTGACTGACTGCGGGCAGCTGCTGCCAATTCAGCCTGGGAAGGACGAAATGCCTAGCCTCCCATGTCCTTCCCCGCTGTGAGGGCCGGGAACACTGCAGGGGGCGGGGCTCAGGGTCTCCACCCGGAACAGGGACCAGGGGCTGCTGCCTCTCTAGATTCCCACTGTCCCCGGGGGGCCCTGTGGACATCAGGGGAAGGAGGTCTGTTGGTGTCCAGACGCAGATTCGCCGTGGCTGACCCTGGGCCCTCTCGAGGGGGCGTCTCAGAGTCCAGAGCCCCCAGCTTGCCTTGCCCAGTGCCATGTCCACTCCCACCATGCCCTGCAGGCCTATGGTGCCAAGATCTGGCCTGGGTCTTCTTTGGCCCAGGTGCTTGGGCTCCCTGTCTGCACACAGTAGGGGTTCTGTCTGGCCCAGGTCCTTGGGCGCATGTTCCGGGGCTGCAGTTGGACCAGCGTTAACTTTTAATTTCGAGTCTCCAGGCAAGGCACAATGGACTTTTGACATACAAATATTAAAAATTAAATTTCCCGAGTTCATTATCTGATAATTAGAACTAAATAACATCTTAACTGAGAGGCCAGCCCCACACAGATCAAGTCAGTTCCATTTAAGATTCCATTAGACCAGTGTCGGAGCCGTAAGTAATGGACCATAAAATTTAATTTGGAAATGATCTCGCGCCGTGATGGAGCGATAGCGCTCACAAAGGAGCGGGCGCGCGGGCGGCCGGGCTCGTGAGCCGGCGGAATTCAAAGGGACCCGCCGCCGTGGCCCAGAAGAACATGTGTTCAGCTCCTTCTCCTTTCTCGGGCCCTGCAGGTATTTAAAAGTCAGAATTGACCAGTGTAGCTCCGTGTAATTACAAAGATCCCCTTATCGGAGTCTATTTGCAGGCGCAGAAAGAAAAGGCCGTGCTGGCGTCTCGCGGCTCATTTACATGCGCCCGGATCCGCACCTTAATCACAGTGGATTCAATCGCACTCGGGCGGTTCTGTCCTCCCATCTCAGCCCCGGCCACCTCGCCGCTCGACCCAGGCGGGCCTGGTCATGGCCTTCGGGGGCCGCATGCATCTGGAGGAAGCCTCCCCGGCCCCCTGGGGCCCCTCGGCTCCCACAAAAGGGGGATGAAAGGGGCCAGATTAGCTCAGCATCCCACGGACCCAGGACAGCCACACCTCAGGGGACCCAGGCACGGGGGTCCTCCTGGCCCGTGAATCCCAGATGCGGGGTCAGCAGGCCCGAGACCTGTCCTCCCCCCGAGGCATCATCCGGAGCCTCCTCCAGCCGCCCGTACCCCCTGCAATCCCCAGACCCATTCTCGGCTCTGCGATAAAGCTGTGTGAGTGTCGGGCAGAACCTTCTGGAAGGCCTCTCCAGGAGTGCAGAGGGATGCCCTGGAGTTGGGGGAATCTCTGAGGCCCCGAGGGACCCAGGCTCACTCGGGCCCGGCCTTGCCTCACCGAGGACCGACCGCAGACACGTGACTCAGACTCCAAGAGCCCCGTTGGTAGTGACCTGCTGGTCACACGCAGGACCCGATTCCGACCGCGGTCTAAGGCTGGTGGCGTCCACCATCCACTCACCCCGTGTCCCAGCCAGGCACGCGGCGGCCCGGGTGTCCGGTGTCTGTCAGCTTCCGGGAGCCGCAGGGCGGGCCGTGGGCGGGGCCTCAGAATGGGGCCGTGGGCGGGGCATCAGCGTGGGCCGTGGGCGGGACCTCAGCGTGGGCCATGGGCGGGGCCTCAGAATGGGGCCGTGGGCGGGGCCGTGGGCGGGATCTCAGAGCGGGGTCATGGGCGGGGCTGTATAGGAGGCCACTGTCGCCTCCTGGCCATGCAGGGCTGCCCAGCGGCCCAGGGCATACGCCACCGGGAACGGCCAGGGCTGTGTCTCCCCAGCCCTGAGCACAGGCTGGACACCGCTCCGTGGTTGTACCGCTCAGCCCTCTGTTCCGCTGGAACTGGTCCCGAAGTTCCCTGGATGGCTGCTTGTCTCCGAGGACCCCAGACTTACCAGCGGCGCCCTCCCTTCATGGGGCTGGGGCTCCCCTGACCTGCCACCCCCGCCAGACACCCTGGCAGCAGGGGGCAGGCAGGCTGCGGGCCCGGCTGCCAGCTCGGTGGCCCCTGGTGACGGTGACCTTGCGGCTTCACGTCCTCTCTGGGCAGGCAGCTGGGCTGTGCCCCTGCAGGTAAAATGGGGTGTTCGCAAAAGCCCCCTCCTCAGTGTCCAGGAGCCAGAGGTGCTGGGCCAGGGTCTCCTTGGAGCTGCCCCTCCCGCTGTCCCTCTCAGCCCTTCTGACCTCTGTTCTTGACGTGGACGCCAGTGCAGCCCCCAAACGCAGCCCACCCCAAACGTTCCCTGTGGCCCAAAGCAAGAGCGAGTGGCGGGGCCCGGGCTCTGCGGCCACGAGGAGCCCTCCAGCCTGGCTCTGGGCCCACACTCTCCCTCCAGCATCCAGAGATCCGGGCCAGGCAGACGGCTCATGAGAGGAGAGGACGGGGTTATGGCCAGGGGACCCACAGCCTTGGGGACCCACCAGGGCCGGGACCACGGAGAGGAAGGAGGCCGAGCACACTCCCTCTGCTCCCTGAGCCCCCGCCAGGCACAGCCGCAGCTCCTGTAGAAGCCCCCGCCACCAGGCCCGGAAAGCGTCTGAAATTAATTCTTGTTCCGGAGGCGGCGCGGGTGACCCACCGTGTCCGCGGCCTCCAGGCTCTCGCCGAGCGGCCGACTCTGCGTCTTATCTCCCGAGCAGCCTCATTTGTTACTTCTCACTGAATACACCCACTCCCATTATTTCTGTAATTCTTGGCAATAACAGCCCTTCCCCTAATGAAACCTGCATTATTGGAAGGTTGCCGTCCTGACCCAGCGGAGATTAGCTGTGTACTCTGTTATTACTACATATGTAATTGTATAATTGATTTTAAAATTTACTTTTGTGTCCCCACATCATAAAGTAAGCAGCCCATTAGGGGGAGAAATATAATGAATATATCTCTAACCGTTTCTGCCCCAGGGAGAAGGGCATCAGGGGAGGTGTCCTCCAGGCTGGGGGGTAGGGATGCCCACTTCTTCCCCTTCCAGGGTTTGGGAAGGGCTCTGCCCTCTTCATCTTCAGGGGTTCCTCATGGGGCCATCCTCCAGGCAGGCCTGGGGCTTGAGTGTGTGGGTGTCTGGGGCTGTCCGTGGTGGGTGGGTGGGGGAGAGCCCGGCACTCTGACCACCTTCCAGCCCCAAGAGTGGGAGGGGCGCCGCACCTCCTCCTGCCGGCGGGCAGGTGGCCCTCACCTGAAACCACACCCACAGCTGGTGGCCCCCCAGTCCCAGTCCCAGCACAGGGCGACTGCCCCCAGAGCCCAGCAGCCCGGCTCCTGCTGAGCCCCGTCATGGGCCCCCCTCAGCCTGTGCTCTGTCCTGGCCGCCTCTCGGCCTGCGCTCTAGCAGACCCAGCTGCCTGTGGGCGGAATGGGGGGGTGCTGCTTCCTGGGGAGGCCTAGGGGCTGAACACCCCACCACCCCAGTCCCTCCAGACCGGGGTCTCTGCCTCCACAGCCTCCTCACTAGGTCACGGAGCTCTGAGCCCCGCTGCTTGCCATCTGCCCTGCTGGACCCCATGCTCTGTGGGGAAGGGGCCCAGGCCCCAGCCCCAGCCCCAGCCTGCTGGGGTGACCCAGGTGGTGAACCCAGATGAGGAGGTACCTGAAGGCTGGAACTCACCCCACAGTATTTTCAGACATGCAATGGTCACTGCAGTCAATTCTAGAATATTCTCATCCCGAGCCAGTCCCAGCCCCCGCCCCCACTAGGCCACCATCTGCACACAGACTGCCTGTCTGCCTGTCTGAAGGCCATCACGGCAGCTCCCCGATGCCTACGGGCACCGGGCTGGCACACACACAGGTGCACGCACATGCCTGCCCCGTCTGGATGCGTGTGGATGCCTATATGGACGTGCACACACCACGTGAGCTGCAGGCTGGGCCCGAGCTGGAGTTGGGCTCCGAGAGGACACAGAGCTAACTCCCACCCTCTTGTGCTGGAGAAACCGAGTAGGACCCGATGGCCCTTGCTTACCCCCGCTCACCATGTCCTCTGCCTGGCTTTGCCTGTGGAAGACTTTACTTAAAGAGTAAATTTAATCAGAGAAGTGAGAAATGTGGAAACAAAGGCAAACAGTCAAAGGAGACTAAATAATAATAATGTAGTCATTAAACACAGCCAAGGACCTTTAGTTCTTTCTCTGGGTCTGTAGATGATATTCTGAGCCACATCCTGTGAGCTGTCTTATAGATACCAAAACCCCAGATGGAGAAGTTAACTACGTGATGATCAGACTGTACCCAGGACATGAGCTGCCACAATTCCAAGAACTGATGGCAAAGAAATGGGAACAAGTGCACCCCAGACCTGAAGATTAACTGTACCTAAAACAACCAAGATACTGCTGATCAGACCACTGACAAACAATTTGAAGATGACTGTTAGAGATGACTGTGCTGTTTATGTATGTAACCCACCCCCACTCCCCGGCCCCGGACTCTGCCTATAAAAGCTCTCACGCCCTGCTTGTCATCTGGCCTTTGGACACATGTCTGCCACCCTCCCCGCCCCTCAGTTGCTGGCATCTGAAATAAAGCAAACTTTCCTTTCCACCAACCTGGCCTGTTTACTGGCTTTTGAGGGGCGAGCAGCTGGACCTCCATGCATATTTTTTGATAACACTGGGGCTGCAGCCTGGGCCTCGGGCTCTCGGGGGCGGCTTCCGGGCCACAGGGGAATGCTGGCCTCGCTGCGTGCTGGCCCGGGGCAGTCATGTGGGGCTGCACCAGTGGGGCAGGCTGCAGGAGGCAGGAGCCTGGCTGCTCGGCAGCCCAGGAGAAGCCTTTGTGCAGACAGTGAGCCCAGGAAGGTCACTGTTTGACATCCATAAGGCTCTGCCTGGTGGGTGCCCCGTAACGGGCTGGTCAGAGCAGGCACGCGGTCTGTACCCGGAGACCTGGGTGACCTCTGACAAGCGTCCAGGTCCCCCTGGTGTGAACGGGGCCATGAGATGATGAGCTCTGGGGTCAGCTCTAATGCCCGGCTTGGGCACTGGGTCTTGGGCTGGTTTTTGAGGAGCAGCTCATCTCCGGAGGAGGGAGGCAGGGAGGGTCTGTGAGTGGACTGCGTGGATGGGATTGGAGACAAGTTTCATTATAGTCACTAGTACTAAAGGGAAAAATCAGTGACTCGGTGATCGGCAGTGGTGGGCCTAGTGATCGGCTGGAGCTTGGAGTGGGGGTGGGGTCGGGACCCCAGTCATCCACTGGGCCTCTCTCCCCAGGGCCACCAAGACGTGCGCTTTTCTGGGGGCACCTCTGTCCGGATGCCCAGATGGCTCTGTGTGGCCGAAGAACCCCGACACCAGCTTGGTACCCCCACAGCTGTGCTGGCCACTGCGTGGGCACAGCGCCTCAATGGATGGGGAAGGGCCTGCTCCAGGCTGGTGGCCACCATCTGGGACCAGGGGGTACCGGACACCAAGTGGCCCTCTGCCCCTGGTTGGAAGATGCTGGCTCCCTCCCCATCCACCAGCTACAGCCCCTGTCCCAGCAGGAGCAGTCGGCCCCTCGGCCCCCAAATCCTGCAGGCCCAGCCGTCAGGGGCTCCAGGGAGCAAACTCATCAAATAGCCTTAGATCACCCGTCAAGCACTGTAGGGAGAGGGTGTTTCCTCGGCCTGGTTAAGATGCACATAACAGAATATATGTAAGAAAGTTGGCTACTTAATCACGGAGATGAAGAGCCACCTCGAGAGATTGTTCTGCTTAAAAAATGTGGTGGCGACTTGCAAATATGTTTTTAGAAGCAATTTTATTACAAACTGTCCCATCGGGCAGTGCCTGGGAAATTATGGGATGCTGCCTTCATTCCTCAGAGCTGGGCTGCAGTGGGAGGGCGCTTGGGGGATTTGTCTTGTGGAGCCCAGGAGGGGCTGGGGGCGTAGATCCGGGGCTGGGTGGGGGTGGGGTGGAAGGAGGGGCTGTGTGGGGGGGAGGAGTTGGGGGTGGGGTGTGGGAGGGCTGGGTGGGGGAGGGGCTAGGGGGAGGGGTGGGGTGGGGTGTGGGGGCCCCCCTCCCCCGCTGGGCCCAGGGTCTTTCCCAGAGAGGGCCCAGCTGCAGGCTGACCTGGAGTCCCCACCAGCCCCTCCTGCCAGGGCTGTCCAGAGGAGCCACCACCCCCACACTGGCTGCCGGAGGCCTGGTCAGGACGGCCACCCACAAGCTCCCTGGGGACCCCAAGGCCTGAGCCCTCCTCCCTCCAGCAGGCAGGGGGACTTGCAACCAGGACACTCCGGTTCTGATTTTCTGCAGAATAAAGAAGAGAGAAGACTGCTTACAGCCCCCGGGACATTCCAGCCAGGGGATCCCAGGTGCTGCTCCTCTCCATGAGGAGGACAAGAGACCCAGGCTCCACAGACACTCCTGGCCTCTGCCTGGAGGGCCTGAAGCTGGGAGACACCTGCCGGGTCCGTGCTCGTGGTCTCTGCCGCAGTCAGGCAGCCTCTGAGACGGCCATGCTCCCGTCCCCGCACTCTCACCCTGCGGGGTCCCTCCTTGGGTTACACCTCATGACTTGCTTCCCCGTGGCAGGAGGGGTGGATGTAACCTCTGAGGAGGTGACGGAAAACGGTGACTCCCGCCTGTGTGCTGACCCTGCTCAGCTCTCCTCCCACCCCTGTTTCCCTCGTGCTTGCTGTGGGGGAGGCCAGTGGCCAGAGTATCCACACTGGCTGCTTAGAGAGAAGGCCAAAGTGGGGGCTGGCAGGTAGCGAGGACCTGCCAAAGTCTGGGAGCAGCCTTAGGAACAAACCTCCTTCCAGTTAAGCCTTGAGATGCCTCAGTCCTGGCTGCCAAGTTGATTGCAGCATGTGAGAGGCTCTGAGCTAGAACCACTCTGCTAAGCCAGTCTCACACTGCTGACTCTCAGAAACTCTGAGACAGTGGATGTTGTTCTCTGTGACCATCACCACCACCACCACCACAACCGTCACCATCACCACCACCATCATCACCACCACCACCACCACCACCACAACCATCACCACCATCACCACCACCACCACCATCACCACCACAACCATCACCACCACCATCATCACAACCATCACCACCATCACCATCATCACCACCACCATCACCATCATCACCATCAATACCACCATCACCACCACCATCACCATCACCATCATCATCACCATCACCACCACAACCATCACCACCACCACCATCACCATCACCACCACAACCATCACCACCACCATCATCACAACCATCACCACCATCACCATCATCACCACCACCACCACCACAACCACCATCATCACCACCACCATCACCACCACCACAACCATCACCATCATCATCACCACCACCACAACAATCATCACCATCACCACCATCACCACCACCACTACCGCCATCACAATTACTATCATCACCACCTCCACCACCATCATCATCACCATCATCACCGTCACCATCATCATCACCACCACCATCACCACTTCCACCACCATCATCACCACCATCATGACCGTCATCACCACCATCGCCACTGTCTCATCATGATTTCTTTCTGGCCCATAGCATCCTCACATCTGTTCTCTGAGTCAGAAAGTCCCCACGAGAGGAGGATACCAGGACTCAGCAGGAGAGTCACTCGTGGGGAGCTCCCTAGCTGACAGATGGCAAAGACTAGGCTGTTGGCCACATTGAACCCCAGCTGCAAGCTGAATCCATCTTTGAGGCTCAGGACAGCTGTTCTTTGGCCCTCAGGGGAAGGGATTGGCCACGTGGCTGGGCCCAGCAGAGGGGGGGAAGAGTGGGATGGGTGGGGAGAGGGGTCCTCCCCAGCCTTGCCCCTTGAGCACTCTTCCCTGAGAGCCTGCTCAAACAACCCTTGTGGTGGCAGCCCCCACGTCCCACCTGCATGCTTTGCTGCAGGGAGTCTGGGAACCAGAGTCCTGAGTCAGCAGTGTGCCCAGCGACAGCCTGGGCCGTGGGAGCCAGACAGTGTTCACAGCCTCTGAGTTCTACCATGGCGGTCTGTGCCCAGTGATGAGGGGGAGGATGGTGTCGCCATGAGAGCAGAGGCTGGGACGGGGTTGGAGGATTTGGGGACATCCGGGCCTGAGCTCTGCTCGGGTGAGGGCACGTCCACCACCCCCAGGGAGTCAGCTGCCCATCAGGAAGCCTGCGCCCAGCTCCCTGCTCCCCTTAGCACGGGGTCAGCGCCTGCTCAGCCACATCCCTGCATCAGCACGGGGGCTGGGGTCTGCTCGGAGCAGTGCTTCTTGCAGTCCTGATGTCCCCTGAACCAGGGCCATTAATTGATGGCACTTAATTAATCTGTCCAGGAGAGAGATCAGACAGAGATGGTGTCCCACACGGCCACTCGGATTGACTTCCTTATTCCAATCAACCGCGGCCAGAGGGGCGCCATGAGTCGCCCTGAGCTCTGGCCTCCGGCGGCTAACCCAACGGTCTGGGCGCTCCACCCGGGATTCCACATGTGTGGTCACCTCAAGGCTGATAAGACTGCCCATTAGAGGAGCCGCTTGTTTCCAATTAACAGCATTATTTAGGGTATTTTTCCCCTTCAAACAGTAATTAGATTTCTGAAGCCTTGGGAAAAAGGTTTCTGCAGCCTGGAGCAGGACACCCCATAAGTCAGGCCCAGAGTGGGGTGGGGGTGGGGTCTGCACCTCTCGGAGGAGCCCCTCAACCCCTGTTGTTTTCTGTTAAGCCAGAGGTCCCCGGGTTCTGCTCCAGAGGGATGCCTGCGAGGCTTGGAGCAGCAGAGCTCTGGAAACTCTCCAGCCACCCCATCTCCCCTTCCTCCATTTCATATCCTTCCCCCCATACCCCTCCCCCAGCTCCCCACCCCAGTTCTCAGGACTCTGTTTTCTGACGCCCTGGCCCATCACACCATCAAGGAGACTCACCCAGGGCTGGAGCGGCAGCCGAATGGAAAGCCATCTTTTTTTTGCTCTGGGCCCCACAGCCATCGCCCAGGCCACCATCCTGAGGCCTGGATGCCTCAAGGGAACCCATGTGCTCAGCGAAACAGGACAGACCTTTTCAAGTGCTTCACGTCCTGGCGTGTGGTGCCATCCATGTGAGTGTTAGGGTGAAATCCAGAGACAGCAGGTTAGGGGCGCCAGGCTGGGAGGGGATGGCTGCTAATGGGGACAGGCTTCCTTTCAGGGTCACGGGGACGTCTGGAATCAAGCAGTGGGGGGTACAGCCCTGTGGATATAAAGATCACAGGACCGTACACTTTAAAACGGCGAACTTTATGTTACATGAATTACATCTCAATTTTTAAAAACAGGGGGAGAAAGATCTCATACAACTTATTACTAAGAAGACAAACAACCCAATTAAAAACAGGCAAGAGATTCAAGGGGACTTTTTTCACCAGAGAAGATCCATGGATGCACGTGATCACACGAAGGGGCTTCCCGCCTGGGTTCTCGGGAAACACGCTCAACACCTCTGTGGCCCAGGGCGGCTCAGAGGGAAAAGGCCGAGACCACCGTGTGTTGGCGAGGCCGTGCGGGACGCCCGCACCGCCCGTGGGGTCTCTGGGTCCTCAGGTCGCAGCTGTGCATGGGGACAGACACCATGCAGGGACACTGGGGACTCTCCGGAAAACGGCGCCCAGGGAAGGAGCCGGAGGAGTAAGCCCCGTGCACAAAATTCCAGAAAGAGAAGACGAGTCTACGAATCAAAGTCAACAAAGAGATCAGTGGTGGCCCTGGAGGGCATCGGAGGAGGCGTGTGGGGGGGGGCGAGACGGCCGAGGGGCGGGGGTGTGTCCATCACCCAGCTCAGCGCCGCGTGCTCCCTGCAGCCACACGTCCACACCCATCCTCGTGTGTACAACGTGCTGTGTGTGGGTCACCCTTGGATGAAGTGGGCCCTGCCCTGCAGCTGTCCTGCCTGCCTCGTCCTCTGCCCGTGCTCCCCAGGGGCAGGTGGGCATGAGGCCCGGACCGCCGGGGCTCCTGCCGTGTGCTGCCCCGGCCCCTGGAAGCCTGGGAGGCCTTCTGCCTGCTCCCATGATTGGAGGCCCCCTCCAGGTCCTCAGAAGTGGGGAGCACCCAGGTGCCAGGACCAACATGCCCCTGCCCAGAGGGCATGGCAGTGAACTCCATGGGGAGGGGGGGTGGGCAGGAAGTGGGGAAGGCAGCAGAGCAGGTGGCCTGGAGGGTCCGCCCATGGGTCACCCCCAACGCCGGCGCTTTGCTGGCCCATCCCCTGCTCCACGGCCAGGGATACACCCCGGGGCTCGGGCCTCAGCTTTCCTACCTGTAGGATGGGCTCCAGGCACCGTCCTGCTCCAGACCAGTAACTGGGAGACAAGGGAGCTGGTGGAGGGTCGTGTCTGCTCTCAGGACCCAAGCTTGTGCCCCCAAGTGGGGTCAGAGGGGGCCCCGGTGCCCTCCAAGGGGTGGCCTAGGTCAGGGAGACAGGGCCTAAGCAGAGCACCCCCCTCCCCCACCCCATCTGTCCAGAACCCACCCGCCCGGAAGAACGGGGAGGGGCCCTTCTCCCCAGGCTTGTCCCCACCCAGGTGACACTCCACCCTGGCCTGGGGCAGCCTGCCCTTGCCAGGTCCCTGCCTCTCTGCGGTGGGCCTGGCGGGTGGGCCTGTCTGCAAGTCTGCAAAGCTGAACTTTTCCAGCTGCCAACCCGCCACGGCCCAGGGAGACGGGATTGCCCCAGACAGAGAACAGAGACACAAAGTGTGAAAAATTGGACTGACAGTGCCGCGCTGATAGCTTGTTGAACGAGGGAGCCCGACTTGGAGAGAAATTTACATTTATATAGTGCATTTCTCAGGGCCTGGCTAGGGCGGCTGGCACACCCCAGGTTGCGGGTGGGCAGAGCCAGTGACACCAGCCCCGGCGGCCGGGGGCCAGGGGCAGGGACCCCACTAAGGCCCCAGGCTCCCTCTACCCCAACCTTTCAGCCCCACCTCTGGCCCTCCGTCTGCTCCCTGGCAGCCTTGCCCCCACCCCAGACCTCCCTGTCTCCCCAGGGGCACCAGCTCTGGCCTCTGGGCACCTCCCTGACCCCGTGCCTGAAGCCCTAGGCCTGGACAGCAGTGCAGAGCAGTGGACACGTGAGGACACGGAGGAGGCGCCGTCCACACCCCCGGAGAGAGGCCTCAGGAGACACGGGCCCACTGGCACCCTGATCTCGGACTTCCAGCCTCCAGGACAGTCCCTGGTGTCCGGTCGGGTACCTGGCCAAGGCAGCCGCGTGGAAAAGCGGGTGGAGTGAGCATTTTGCTGGTGGGGTAGCACAGCCCAGCCAGGGGTGGCGGGAGCAGACAGGAGGGGAGCCCACACGGGCAGTGACACCAGGAGAGCCCTGGGAGGAGGCTGGGCTCCTGGGGGAAAGCCTGGCGAAGCTGCAGAAACGCGGCCAAGGGAGGACGGGGCCCGGAGCCCAAGGGAGCAGACCGTGTGTGCGTGTGCGTGTGTGTGTGTGTGTATACGAGTGTATGTGTGCAGTGTGTGCGCGCACGCATATGTGTGTGTGTAGTGTGTGCATGTATGTACATGTGTATGTGTGTATATATATGAGTGTGTGTATGTGTCTGTGTATGTGTGTATACGAGTGTATGTGTGCAGTGTGTGCGCGCACGCATATGTGTGTGTGTAGTGTGTGCATGTATGTACATGTGTATGTGTGTATATATGAGTGTGTGTATGTGTCTGTGTATGTGTGTATACGAGTGTATGTGTGCAGTGTGTGCGCGCACGCATATGTGTGTGTGTAGTGTGTGCATGTATGTACATGTGTATGTGTGTATATATATGAGTGTGTGTATGTGTCTGTGTATGTGTGTATACGAGTGTATGTGTGCAGTGTGTGCGCGCACGCATATGTGTGTGTGTAGTGTGTGCATGTATGTACATGTGTACGTGTGTATATATATGAGTGTGTGTATGTGTCTGTGTGTGTATACGAGTGCATGTGTGTAGTATGGGCATGCATACGTGTGTGTAGTATGTGCATGTATGTACATGTGTATGTGTATATACGATTGTGTGTGCATGCACGTGTGTGCATGTGTGTATATGTACGTGTATGTGCACGTGTACGTGTGTGCGCACTTGTGTGTATACGTGTGTGTGTGTGTGTAGGTTAGAGAAGCCAGCCCTGGTGGGGGTTTGAGGGAGGTGAAGGCGGGCAGCCCCCACTCCTCCTTAAGACCAAAACAAGCTGCAGACAGAACCCCGGCTCTGGCCTCTATTCCTACAACAAAACCTCAAAGAACAGAAAATGCTTTGAAGCAACACAAAGCATAGAAGCCGCAGAAGAAGAAATTCAACCACATAAAACCAGGCCATTCCAAACGGCAGACACTGCCCCTTCAGAGGGGCGCAAGGCCGGGGGTGGTGTTTACAGCACCTCTGAGAGATGAAAGGCTAACTAATATACTTACAGGAAGCTGCTGCTAAACCTTAACCAGTCAAGCTCGGACAGCGCCGCAGAGAACAAGCAAAGGCTGAGGAGGAGGAAGCCCAGCCTGCCCTGACCCCCGGGCCTTTGCACACGCAGCCCCTCGCCCTGCTCCAGCCCGCTGAGCCCACAGCTCCCAGTCCGCCCCTCCGCCTCAGGGCGCCCCGCACGTGCCCTCACCCCCGACGGTTGCCTTCCCCGCTCTCCTCCCTGCTTGGCGGGCTCTGTGTAACCGCGGGCAGGAGCCCCTGGCCCCTGATCCCTGCCAGGCGGTCACAGGACCCCGGGGGCCCGGTGTGTCCCTCAATGCCCCGTGGCTGCCACGTTGAAATCCCTCATTGTTGAAAACGGAGGTCCCGAGCTCCCATGGCTGCCTCACGCTCCCCAGCAACCTAAGCCCCCAGGGAACATCCTCCCACCCAGGGCCTGTCCGCTCTCTGACTCCGGCAGCCTTTGCCAGCTGCATTTGTGCAGATCTCGCCGTCACATCCTCTGTGGAGCCTTCCTGACCCCTCGCTGGCCCCCGTGGGCACCCAGTGGCCCCCACCCCACGAGCCCATGAACACGCGCTCCGGCCACGATCCAGGCTGCTGCGTGTGCTCGTCCGCTCCAGCAGTAACCTGGGTGCGAGACCAGATCTGGCCCCAGGTCTACAGGCAAGGCCAGTGCTGGGGGCCATCCAGACCAGGACCCCCAGCACCCAACCCACAGGCCCATCCTGACCGCCGTTCCCCCTCTGCACACTCAGGACCCCAGCCCCCAGTCTGCTGCCCTCTGTTCTCCTGGGGTGTGGGTACTTGGGGCAACAGGCAATGCCAGCCCCCACAGCTGAGGGTCTGCAAGGAGCCGAGCAGCCCATCCAGCCAGGCTTCCCAGGGGACGGGGCCACCAGAGCTCCTGCTTCTGGAGGGGACAGGAAACCTTTGGCTGGGGAGCTGCCCCCCTCAGAAGCCAGTGCCCCTCAAGAGGACAGTTGCCTGCTGCCATGAAGTCTTTGAAAGAGCTGCAGGCACTTTAAATAAAACCACATCGTTTGATTAACTGAGTGAAGAGGGGGCCTCGTCACCTCCCGGGTGCCCATCAATTTCTCTGGGATGGGTTGCAGGGGGGTGGCAAGCGCCACGCCGCAGGGTGCCTGGCGCACATCCATCGCCTCCCAGGAAGGGGATTTTTCTTGGGAGGCGACAGAGAAGGTTCATCATGTTGATCACGGCGGGGACGGCATTTTCATATTTCCTACCAGGAGGAAGAGGGTGGAGGGTGGAGGGTGGGTCCCAGCTGCTGAGGCCACGCCAGGTCGATGCCGGCCGGGTCCTCCAGCAGCGGCTGAACCTGCGGGTCCGCCCGGCACACTGGGGCCCGGGTTGAGGAAGTGGAAGGAAAGAGGGCTTTCCTGGGAATGTGAACCGTGGGTCCCCCTCCCAGCAATGTCCTCCCTGGCTCCCCACAGAGGTCGGCCCCTGGGCTTCGGCTAGACTCTCTCCCTGCTCCCCACCAGGCCCTGCCAGACCCCGATGCATAAACAGGGGCTGGGAGGCTGTCTCCGCACTGGGAGGGCCACTCCAGGGCGGGGTCCCTGCTCCCGGAGGACAGCGCAGCAGCCGAGCGGGGTCCCCCCGGAGCAGAGCGGCCCGGAGCCCGAGCCTCGTCCCGGGGGCTCTGCCCCGTGCAGCCGGCTGGCGTCTCCTCGGGTGAGGGGCCGACGCCTGGCCAGTGCAGACCAAGGCAAGGTGGAGGCCTCTCTGGGCCCCTTCCGGCCACGCCTATGCACGGCTGCCACACAGGAGGACAGGGGAAGGAAGGTCAGAGGTCAGGGCAGGCGAGGGCCCCAAAGGGCAAGGGTCAGGGAGGTCAGAGTTCAGGGAAGGCAAAAGTCAGAGAGATCAGGGGTCAGGAGGGCAGAACGCAGGAGCCAGGGAGGACAGAGCTTAGGTAGGGCAGGGGTCAGGGGCCAGAGGACAGAGGTCATGAAGGGCAGGGGCCACAGGGGGCAAGGGTCAGAGAGGTCAGGAAAGTCAGAGTCCAGGGAGGGAGAAGGTAAGGCGGCTCCTGGCCGGCTTCTAGAGCCCCAAAGTCCTCTTCCTGCCCTGAAGCTGGGCTCTGACTGGGCCAAGTCACGGGTAGGGCACAGCCCCAGCCGGGGATCGGCCGAGCGTGTGCATGCCTTCAGCCAATGGACACATCGGGCGGCCTGGTGGGGCCAGGCCCCATGTCCGGCCTGGAGCCAGAGGGGTCAGCCAGGGCCACTGGGGCCCCGGAGGTGAACAGCCCCAGGCCCCGAGGACACAGGTTCTCAGGAGTGTGACAGGCATCCGACAGTGGGACAGGCAGGAAGGACCGCCCAGACGTGGCAGGGAGGCTGCAGGGCGTCTTGACTTCAGACATGGGGGGCCCCTTGGCTGGCCCTGGGGCCTCAGTGGCCGTCTTGGATGAAGAGCAGACACCTGGCCTGCTCAGACCAGGGCTGGGTGGAGGGTTCTCTGGCCACCTGGTCTGAGGGGGAGCAGGGGTCCCCCAAGGCCCCCGGGGAGCGGGCTTCCAGGACACAGGTTCCCCAGGCAGGCTCTGCCTAGATTTTTCCACTGCCTGTGAGCTATCAATCTCCACTCCTTCTAAGACAAATGCCTCGTCAGGCTGGCCGCCTGGACCCCCAATTTATCACCATTTAATATATATTAAAGCGCTCTCACCTCTGATCACCAAAACAAACAAACAAAAAAATCTGCATCAATCGCACGGCAGCAACAGGCGGAAGGTGGGTAGGGTGCAGGGGTCTCCCTGCTTTCCGCCCTAGCAAAGCCCCAGGACTCCAGGCCCAGGGTGCAAGGAGGGCCTGCCCCTGGTTTCCCAGACTCTGTCCTCCCAGGACGGAGGAGGAAGCAGAAGGATCCCTGGCCAGCAAGTGAACCGCTCCTCCAGGGCCCCTCTCGGCGGATCTCACCCCGAGCTCACCCCGGCCAGCCTGGTGCTACCTGTGAGACCACCTCGGCAGGAGTGGTCCAGGGTAACAACCTGGGCAGGCAGGCGGGCGCTGTTCCAGCCTCTGCTGGCTGGAGACCCTGTGGCCCCAGGGTTTGGAGACGGTAGGAGGCAACCCTGCAGAAGCTGTGGCAGGCGGGGCCGCCACACGTCTTGGGGGAGGGCTCTTCCTGGGGGAGAAGCTAAGCCCAGGCGCCAAGCATCAGCTGGAGACGGTGTGGAGAGGACGGGCCCTCCGTTCAGCGCCAGGGTCACTGCTGACTTAGTAACGCAGCCGGTAAAGACAGAGGCTGTAACTGGTCCAACCCCAGAGCCAGGCGCCCCAGGCACGGCACACCCCCACTCCACGGATGGAGAGACTAAGGACCCGGCCGGGCGGGCTTGCGCGTCCACAGGTCCACAGGCCCTCCTCCCTGGGGACCCAGATCCCTGGCCCCAGGCTGCCCTCACCCCCTGCACCTCTGCCAACGTCTCTTGGTGGCCAGTGCCCACTCCCCCGCCCATCCCATAATAAGCCCGGCCCCGGGGGGGGGCGGCCGGACCGCGGCGGGAGGGGCGGGGCGCGCTCGGGCCACTAAATCAGTCCATGCCTGTCACCAGCTCGGGGCCGCGGGAGCCGCCCGAGCGGAAATAACAAATGGCTGTCATTGTGGAGCCAAAACCTGTGATTATAATTATCACATCCTCGGTGACCTTGCGTAAACTTTAATCCCTCTCCAATGGAGCATTTAAATAGCCTTCGCTGCGCACCGCAGCGCCCCGGCCCGCCCGCCGGCCCCCAGCCCCGCGGCCCCCTGGGGGCAGGGACGGCTCTGCGACCGCCTGCGGCTCACTGGGCCTGAGCGCCAGGCCTGGCTGGGAGGGGGCTCCCCCCGTTTCACAGTGGGAGGGGGCCCCCTGTTTCACAGTGGGAGGGGGTCCCCCGTTTCACAGTGGGAGGGGGCTCACCCATTTCACAGTGGTGGGGACAGGAGGCCTAGCCGCCCCCAGGGATGTAATCGTGGGGAGTAGGGTGGGGTTAGACGCCCCAGGGAAGACGGTGTCAGAGGCGCCGGAGGAAGGCTGGTGAGGGGACTTGGCTGGGACTGTGGGGCCTGGGGTGGGGTCCCCCAAACCCGGGCTCGGGGCAGGGGTATGCAGACACGGGGAGGAGCTGGGGGGTTGGAGGCAGGCAGTGGGAGAAGGGAGGAGGCTCCGGAAGAGGTGGGCGGGGGATGCAAGAGTCAGCCAGCAACTGCCCTTCTCCTGACGGGGTGACAGCTGTGGGGGAGCAGAGGCAGGAGTGGGCGCCACACTGCACACACACGTGTATATACGAGAATGCACACGGCACAAGGTACACGAGAATGCACACATGCACACGGCACACACTCACATGCACATGTGTATACAAGAATGCACACGGCACAAAGGCACACGAGAATGCACACATGCACATGGCACATGCTCACACGCACACGTGTACAAGCGAACACACACGTGGCACATGGGCACATGCTCACACGCTGACACAGACACGAGAACACATGAGCTCAAGGCATGCCGGCACACGTGCACACACAGGCATACAGGCAGGTACATCGATGCACATGGGAACAGCACACATGAGCACACACGTGCACACACGTGACACACACTCACTCCATGCACACACACCATATGCACTCTTGTGCTGAAGGGGGCAGAGAGAGGAGCCGAGGGCCCAGGACTGAGCCTGGGAGGAGGTGGTGGGCAGCAAGAAGACAGAAGCCAGGGGGAGAGGGTCCCTGCCACATGAGGCTCACAGGCCAGCTGGGTGGGTCCTGGGGTCAGAGGTCAGGGGATAGGAGGTCCTGGGGGGGCAGAGAAGGTCTTGGGGCCAGGCCTGAGCCAGGACCTCCTAGGACAGGGTAACCGGCCAGTGAAGTGGCAAGGAGTGGAGACCCTCCTTCCGAGGAGGCCAGGGAGTGAGGGTGGGCAGGGAGGGGAGGGCCCGGGGTGCCCGCGACGGGGCGGCAGGTGGGGGGCAGCCCCGGGAGCCCATCTCACCCTCCAGTACAGCAGGGTCGGGTGCCTGCCGGCGCTGGGGGGTCTGGGGCGAGCGAGGCTGTCAGGTGGGACGGCCAGGCTTAGAGCTGCACTGAGAGGATGAGCGTCCCCGGCCAGAGGCCATGTCTCCCGGGGGCGCCTCAGTCTCCCCTCAGCCTTAGGCGGGGGTGGACGTGGCGGCGGGGGGGCGGCCCGTGGTCCAGGGCCGGGACCTCAATTACCGCCCGCGAGGCAGAAATGTCAGCGACGCCTCCGGCAGCGTCCACCTCGATGGGGCTGAAGCATCGCAGCCCCGGAGCCGCGGGGACGTCACATCATTGCTGGCTGCCAGGCAGTCACCCTTGACGGGCTGTGCCATGCCCAGCCTCCCAGGTGACGCGCGGACCCCGTTGGCCCTCTGGCCGCGGGGCAGCCGGCCGAGGGGTAGAAGCCGAGGGCCGGGGGAATGAGGGGATCTCTCGGGGGTGCACTGACCCCCACAAAGGGCAGCAAGCCCTCCGCCCTCGGGCCCAAATCAAGGCGCTGGGGAGACAGGGACATCCCCAGCTCCTTCCAGACATGGGTCACCCTTTCTTCCGTCCGCCTGCCCACCTGTTTGTCTTCCTCGCTCCCTCGCTCTCCATGTCCTTGCGCGCCCATCCGTTCATCCTCTTCCACCAGTCCGGTCAAGCACAGACGGCCCGTCCAGCCATTAGTCCACTTTCTTCTGGCCCATCTGCCCGTCAAGCCCCGTCCGTCTCCACATCTCCCTACATCCATCCACCGGCCATCCAGCCATCCGTCAACCCCTCCAAGCATCTATTTTTCCCATCAGTCAACTGACATGCCTGTGAGAGCTGGGCCCAGCCTTCCCAGGAGTGCAGGCCACCTGCGTCCAGGTGGGAGCAGGGATGCAGGTGGCGGTGGTTAAGGCGAGGGCGTCCTCCTCTAGGGACCCCGGCCTCTTGGTGGGCGAAGGAGGCGGAGGTTGGTGAGAACGCAGGAGTGCTGGCAGTTTAAGGAGAGACGCGGGCGGAGCACAGTGTCCCGGGAGCCAGCGGCTGAGAGTGCAAGAGAGGAAGGGGGTGGGATGGCGGGGAGCAGAGGACCCTGAGGCGGCAGTCTTCAGTTCACAGAGTGGTCAGCGTGGTCGGGTGTGGGTGCACAGCCACAGTCAGCGGCTCGGGGCAAACACACATTTGCACACTGGCCATCCATGCAAGTGTCTGTCCGTCTGTCCGCCCTGTCTCCGCTCTTTCTGTCCCTCCATCCACTCACAGGCCTCATCCCCCCTTGGTTCCCGGGACCGGTCCTGGGGAAGAGAGCCCGATCCTGCCGGCACAGAGGCTGGGGTCCGGGCTGGATCCAGGGCGTGTGAGGAAGCGCAGCGGAGTCACCCCACAGTCGCTGGGCTGACGGTCTGGTTCCCAGAGGCCCGAGCCCTTGCTCCTCATCCTTCAGTCACACCCGGGTGTCCTCCTGGCCTCTCAGCTCCCAGCGCAAAGGTGGCATCTCGGAGGCCAGGAGGGGGCTGCCAGTGCAGCCCTGCCTTCCTCCCCCTTGCTAGCCTGCCGGTGTCTTCAGACCAGGCTTGACCGCAAGCCAGTACGTCCTCTAAGTCACAAAAAGCAAAACAACATGAAGCTGGCTGGCATCCTCCACTTGGCTCCAGACTCCTGTGCCGATACAGGGCATGGGTAGGTGGGCGGGGACCCAGGAGTCCTGTGCCCGCTGTGGGGCGTGGGCGGGGGGGCAGGGCCCAGGGCCCAGAGGTCCCGCCAGCAGCCCACGCCGACAGGGCTGCTGGCCCCCAGGATGCGTGATGTCGCTCAGCTGTCCCGCTGGGTGGCCTCGAGCCCCCAGAGGAGTGGCCACTCTCAGTGCAGACAGCCCGCCGCTTTCGCCGGGTCGTTCCGCGGGGGCTCAGCACAGGAAGGTTCGATGCGGCCAGTGGCCCCGGGGCCGGCACTCACGGTCGCTCGGGACGCAGCTGGTGATGGAACGCCTGCATGGCTCCGACGACTGGCAGGGGGTGGGGGCGGGGGCAGAGGGGGCCCTGGGCTAGCGGCTCTGCTTGGATGTGGCAGGGTGGCCCCAGGCTGGGCATCCAGACTGCACTGGTGGGTGAATCCCGCATCACTCTATCCCCATGGGATGCATGGAAACAGGCTCGGGTGCCCCGAGGCTCCCCCTGCCCCGCGGGTGGCCTCCCTGAGATCCTGGTATCTGGGACCACTGCCCAGGCGGCCCCGGCCTCCTCCTGAGAGTCCCTCTTCAGACAGAGTGACCTTGAAACCGGGAGGCGTCCCAAGTGATCAGGAGGAGGGTGAGGGCTCTGTATAAATTTCATGCTCTTCAAAATGACATTTGTCTGCCGCCAGCTCAGCTCTGACACGCGCCCCCCCGCCCCTGCCTCGGCCTCGGGCACCCAAACCTGGGGGCTCCGTCTCTCCTGGTTCCTTGTCAGGGTCCCGGTCTCAGCCAGCTCGGCCCCTCCTCCTTGTGAGCAGCAGGACCCCCAGTCCACAGGCTGAACCTCTGCCAGCCACGGGAGGTGGACCAGAAGATGGGGCCCTGGAGGAGGATCCCCGAGGAGGCGGGACCCCCAGCAGGGGCTGGGGTGGCCCCCCCATCCCGCACTGCCTGTCTTCCTGCGCCCCCCCCGGGCCATGGAAGCGACCTGGGGCCACTTGTGTCCGAGTCACGCCTGGGCATCTGGCAGCTGCTCCCCCAGCTCCGCATGGTCGCTGACTCCCAGGTGGCCTTGTCCGATCCCAGGAGCAGAAATTAAGCCTGAGCTGGGAAAACATGGTGAGGCTGGTGCTCCCGGAGCTCTTCCCGCCTGCAGGGAGCATCCCTTCCCTGACCACCACCCAGCTTCCACCCAGAGCCTGGGGCCGCCCGCAGCTAGGACCAGAAGACTGGCTGGAAAGCCCCCACCAAGGGCACGGGGCCCACGCGGGTTTGCCCACAGCACACAGCACCCTGGTCGCCCACTCCCCTCCACCCGCCGACCGCGCCCTGGGCTGGGGACGGGGCCTGAGAGCCCTGGGGGTGACCTCACTGAAGCTGGAGAGGGGAAGGGCTGGGGGCTCCAGAGGGGCCCCCAGAACAGAAGGCCCATCTCCCCTCGGGTCTGGGTCCAGGGCACGAGTCGCCTGTGGTACTCGGCCATTGGGGAGGCCGGCTGCTGGGCCAGGGTGAAAGGCCCTCACTCTGGGTCTGGGCGACCGTGGAAACACTAGTAAACTGAGCCCCATAGGGCAGGGCGCCCGGGCCCCAGGCCTGCTGGCTAGATCAGTGAGTTCAGTCCCTCAGTCGTGTCCCACTCTTTGTGACCCCATGGACTGCAGCACACCAGGCTTCGCTGTCCATCACCAACTACCAGAGTTTACTCAAACTCATGTCCATCAAATTGGTGATGCCATCCAAACATCTCATCCTCTGTCGGCCCCTTCTCCTCCTGCCTTCAATCTTTCCCAGCATCAGGGTCTTTTCCAAGGAGTCAGTTCTTCACATCAGGTGGCCAAAGTATTGGAACTTCAGTTTCAACATCAGTTCTTCCAATGAATATTCAGGACTGATCCCCTTTAGGATGAACTGGTTGGATCTCCTTGCAGTCCAAGGGACTCTCAAGAGTCTTCTCCAACACCACAGTTCAAAAGCATCAATTCTTCGACGCTCAGCTTTCTTTATAGTCCAACTCTCACATCCATATGTGATTACTGGAAAAAACATAGCCTTGACTAGATGGAACTTTGTTGGCAAAATAATGTCTTTGCTTTTTAATATGCTGTCTAGGTTGGTCATAGCTTTTCTTCCAAGAATTAAGCAACTTTTAATTCCATGGCTGCAGTCACCATCTGCAGTGATTTTGGAGCCCCCCAAAATGAAGTCTGTCACTGTTTCCACTGTTTCCCCATCTATTTGCCATGAAGTGATGGGACCAGATGCCATGATCTTAGTTTTCTGAATGTTGAACTTTAAGCCAGCTTTTTCACTCTCCTCTTTCACTTTCATCAAGAGGCTCTTTAGTTCTTTTTCACTTTCTGCCATAAGGGTGGTGTCATCTGCATGTCTGAGGTTATTGATATTTCTCCCAGCAATCTTGATTCCAGCTTGTGCTTCATCCAGCCCAGTGCTTCTCATGATGTACTCTGCATATAAGTTAAATAAGCATGGTGAGAATATACAGCCTTGATGTACTCCTTTCCCTATTTGGAACCAGTCTGTTGTTCCATGTCCAGTTCTGGCTGGATTGCCTCTGGCTGATTCCTGGCAGTCCTGGGGCCTCCCTGGCTGTGCACATGGAGAACCCAGGCAGCCCTGCCACCAGCAGGGAGGGGTGTGCAGGGGGCAGGGTCTCCCAGACCCCTTGTCACTCTCTGGGCCTTCCTTCCCAGGCTGGTCTGTCTGCGAGACCCTCCGGCCGCTCGGCCCAGGAGGACCTGAGCCTCATGGCCCAGGGCCTTCTCAAAGCGCACAAAACCCACCTGGAAAACACACCCCTCCTCTGGGGGCCGCAGGGAGGGTGGGCTTCAGCACCGTCAGTGCGGGCACAGTCACGCACACACAGCGCATGTGAACAAGTGTATGCATGCACATGTGTGCGCACGCGCACCTCCGGACCCTCCCAGCTGGAAGGGAGCCACTGGACCTCTCTAGGACACAGGGCTCTCCCAGCCCTCTCCAGGGGCCCTGGCGTGGCGCCCCGCCCCGCCCCGCCCCGCCCTGCCCCACCCTCGCACTGCTGGCGCTCATGTGGCTGCCGCACGTGCTCACCTCCAGGGCTGCCACAGAAGGTGATGGAGAACCTCCCCGGTTGGGGATTCCCCGGATGGGGAATCCGCGCCCCCGCCTCCGCCCCGGAGCTCAGGCTCAGACACGGTGGGTCCGTCCCACTTCCTGCATGGCCCGTGCGGGCCAGGACTGTTGTGCTCCAAAGAGGAGGACGCTGAGCTTGGACGAGGGGCCAGGCCTTCTCCCGCCGTGGCCTCAGCCCAGCAGGCCCTCCCAGTTGCCCCCAGTCACCCTTGGCCTGAGGGCCCCGCGGCCCTACACCGGCCACGGCTGGACGCTGGACCCCAGCAGGACCAGCTGCAGCCCCCTCCGGATGGTGACTCGAGTGAACCTGGTAGCCGGAGAATGCGCTGAGCATACGGCGGCTCACTGACCGTCACAGCGTTCCTGGGCCCAGTGGACAATCCACACACAAACACCTCTGTTACTGAAACGACCCCTCCCAGCCTGACCCTCTGCGCAGACAGGAGGACTGCTACTCTCAAATGCAGATGGGACGGGCCACCCCAAACCAGCTCATGGCCCCATGCGGGCACACGCCCATATTTGCAGCTGCTGCAGGAATGAGCCTGGGGAACAGGCAGTCTCCCTGAAGTCAATCCTGCTCCTGTCTGCCTCTCTGGGTGCCTGAGAGGCGGAGACCGCAGGTGGTGGACGAGTGGGCACGGCTGAGATTCCCTGGTCCGTTGGGCAGCATGTGGCTGGGCTCTGGATGCCCAGGGCTAGAGAAGGCAAAGCAGAGGCGAGACAGAAGTGTGAGGGCTCATCTTGGCTCCCCGGGGACCCTCAAGTGCCACTCCCTCTGGCTCGGTCATCCTCAGCCCAAATCTGCCCTCCCGCCCCTCAGGCTGTGAGAGCCCTCACCCTCACCGCAGGGCCAGGCCCCGGGGAACCAGGCCAGTCCTGTTCTGGCTCCTGGGACCAAAGGCAGGGCCTCGAACAGAGGAGTTGGTGTCCCAGGAGAGCAGGAGGTCCAGAGAGAAGCAGTGGGCAGTGTCAGGGATCCCCAGCCCACGAGGCAGCAAGGGGAACGCCAGCTTAAACAGCCGAGTGGGCGGGGACATCTGCTTCAGGCAGAGTCTGACCCAGCAGCTCAGAGAGCTTCATCAGGAGCAGGCTTATTGGGCCTTGGTGGCGACTCAAAGGGGACTCCCTTTCCGAGGAAGGCCAGGGCTCTCAGCGGCCCAGCTCACACCCTGCAGGTAGGCCTTGCAAGCGGGCAGAGGAGTGGGAAGAGGGGAGGCCAGTTTGGGTCACATGGGGTCCTGGGAGCCGAGGGTGGTTGAAAGGGGCACTGCTCCCCCCAAAGACGGCAGGAAGGGAGCTGAAGAGCCTCACGGGCGACAAGCCCTCCCCGAGGCCCCAGGCTGACCTCCCTGGGCCGAGCACAGATGAGGCTAGACACCCCCAGCTGGAGGAGGGGCACCTTTGGGGGCCTGAGAGGCCTTCACCCCGCGGCAGACCTCCGGGGGGCAGGGGTCCCCGCCCCCATGGCTGTACAACCTGGCTGAGCCTCAGTGCCCATCTGGAAGGGGTCCCCGCCCAGGACATGGAGGCAAATCCCAGGCGTCAGCTCCCGGGACTCTCAGGGGCTCTGGACGAGTGAGGAGGGCAGGTCCTGGCGTCCAGCGCCTGGAGCAGAAAACCTCAGGGGCGGCCAGCAGCTCTGGGTGGGAAGGCTCGGCCTGGTCCCTGCCTGGGGCCTTCGGAGCGCCCTCTGCCATCCGCACCTGGCCAGGAATGCGGCCTCCTGGCACCTGGACGGGGGTCCGCTTTGGCCACACGTGGGTCCAGGGCCACAGGCCTGCCCTGTCCACCCAGGTGCCTGCCGCTGCCGTCTTATGGGGGCCGCTCCACCCAGGCCCTCGCTCCAGAGCCCGTGGGATGGGAGTTGGTAAGTTCATTACCTTCTACAGCACGATAAGCCCCGTTCTGATTGCTGCATTACGGGGCAGGACGGCAAGATTATAAATTACAGGACGCGCTCACGTGTCCATCTCTTCAGGGCCAGGCCGGAGAAGTTAATTATTTTTATAGGTTCGGAATGCTTGGCCCCGGGTCTGGATGGCAGGATGCCGCCTTGCCCACCCCCGTGGAGGGGACTCCATGCCCGCCCACCCTGGGGGGCTTCCCGCTTCTGTCGCCGCCGCCGGGAGTGGGGCCTGCCTGGGGTGCCGGAGGTTTCTCGTTCCTCCTGCCCACGCAGGGGAGTGGGCTGGGGCCGGCCCAGCTCTCTGAGTGGCCAGTGGGGCCATCAGTAACCCTGAAGGATGCGCGGCAATCTTTTCTCCCCCAATTGCCCACCACAGCCTATATTACAAATACATAAATCATAATGTTTCAACAAAAGCAAAATTTAATTTTCTCCTTTCAGCCGTTATCTGGGCCGGGTGGTATATGGCAGGCTGCGCCCGGCTCATTTATTACCCCCGCTGAATGGATAATGGCAGGCCGAGTCGATTGTGGGAGCTTTGTTAGGGCTCTGAATGTGCCGTGCAGGCCGCGGTGGCCCAATCTCCCCACATCTGTAATAGATACACAGGACTCTATTATTCCTTGCCACAGCAAAATTAAATAGTTGTGTGTGTGCCCGGGGTGGGGGCGGGCTCCTGGCAGGCAGGAGGGGAGAGTTTGCAGAAGGGCCTGCTCGCCCCATGAAGGCCAGCCCCTCCTGAGCAGGAGCGGGGCCCCCTCAGGCCCTGGCCATGGCCAGGATCAGGGGTGGGGGGCAGCTGCCCTCCGGGACCACAGACCCGACTCAGGGGTCAGGGCCCCCCACCTCCACGGCCCAGCTGCCTGCACTGGCCCACTGTTGGTGTGACGGTCCCATTTCACAGATCCAGGATGCTGAGGCCAGGGATCCAGGACCTACCTGGGCCAGGGCAGGCCCAGCGCTGCCCTCCTTTCTGGGGAGCTGTCCTCAGGCCCTGGCGTTTCTGGGCGAGCCGCCTGCTGGCACTGCAGAGCTGGAGGCACCGTGATTCCTGCCCC